TAAAATATTGCTTATTTCGTGAATTTAAAAAGATAAAAATAATTAAAGAATCCAACCAACCAATCAGAGCCGATTTTAAAAATGGCTAACTCAATATTTTAGCCGGAAAAAGATTGCTTAAGCATCGAAATTTCGTTAATAGATATTCAAACCCCTCTGCCATTTATGATCAAAATTTTCAGATTTACGTAATATTTTTCTGAATTAAATACTGAGTTTGGCGTATTTAAAAATTGACTCGCTCAAACGACATTTTTCGTCACTAGTGAGAGTAAAGTTTTTTAACCAATGGATGAGCTAGAGAATTTTTTGTTTTCAAAACTTACCGATTGGCTGGTTGAATTTTTTTAAACCAATGGGTGAACTGGTTCTTGGATTAAAGCCCACCTATTGTTGGCCTCTATAACTGAGGAAAGATTAAGGCTTTTTTTTTCTTAGTGGATATTCTTAATTCTAGTGTTGTTAAACGGTTAAATCCAGGAGTTAGCCAAAATATTATTGGCAATCGATGCCCAGACCTTTCAGTCATGTGTGGGCGAAATTTTCAGATTTTGGGTAAAATGTTTCGCCTAAAATCTTATAAATTGGCTAGTTTTAGAAAACCTAATATGAATTTTAGCCAATCAGACTTGCTCTCGTCCTCATTATAGCGCGATTAAATTTTAAAACCATTTTTTTTAAAATATAAATTAATCCTAACCCATATTTTTCTAACCCTTTAATTTTCTTTTGGGTTCCTGAACCTTTACCAACCCATGATTGATTTCCTGTCAATATTCACCTTTCAAGATGATTGGCGTGTAGATTGTGCTGAAACCCGAATAGGCTCTGATTATATTGTCTGTTAAATAGTGTGGTTTAAAGTTTTAAATTATAAAATAGGCCTTGCTATTTTTAATTAAAATTTTTAATTTCTAAAGATTTTGTTTTAAATGACTATTTGTTAAAATAATTTCCTTTCCCTATCACGCATGCGTGTTCTCGCGAAAAATGAAACAATATTTTTTATAAGGTTTGTTTACTATTTACACGAGCTGAAGCAGTTCATGATTGATAGACATCTTTATTGGGCATGAGATTATTCCCATATCGAGACGAAATTGTCATATTAATCGATAAATTTAAAATGTTATTGACTTTACCCTTCCTTACATTTCGTCGAAGGCCATAGACGGGATCGAGACCGAAATCAAAAGCAGAGTTTGAATATCATTCCTGCCGGTTTATTCGATAATAAATTTTTATTTGATCCCCGGCTGGTCTAATATTTGATTGACCAATCTTTTAGACGAGCTAGGGGTTGGGTTGTTAAAAAGCTACATGGATATGGGATATAGTTTATGTATAATAAAAATGAATCAATTGCTGTCACCCGAAGTGATGTTTAAAATATTTTCAATGGAATCGAATATGAATTATTCTATTCGCCGGATTTAACTGTCCAATTATATGATTCGTTCGGGAAATATGCGCACCGAGTAATAACTTCTTTCTTACTCTCCTTATTTCCATCCAATTACCGACATTTTTAAATACCTTCAGAGCCTGTTCTATAATTCTAAGATCCAAAATACGTACAAGAACCGTCTAAATAAAAAAAAAATGAATGTTTGGTGCCTAAATGACGGCTAAATATTTTATCGTTAAAATGGGACAAGAAATCAACGGGGTGCTTAGTGTCTAAAATGAGGTTTATATAGGGACCGGTTTTAGCCGAAAGCTCATCCGCCCATTGTTTTGATTCATTTAACCCGATTGTCTGCCCGACAACGGTATTTATTATTCATCCGCCCGCCCATTCATCTAAAAGTTATCTTCAAGCCGTCGCCCGCCCAACCCTTAAAATGTATTTGATTGGTTGGTTCGGGCTCTTTATTTATTTTAATAAAACTTCTATAATGCGCAATAAAATGGGAATACATTTTCTTTTCGTATAAAATAATTTACTCTTAAACTCCTTCGGCTCATTCCGCATGAAATGTATTTCAAATTCAACCGGCTCCCTCTCCCGCCCATTGTTTTAAAAATATTTTTAACACGCCCGTCGGCCGCTTAATTTTTTAAGACCCCTCACACCTTCCCATAAATCCACGGTAATTTTTTATAATTAAACTAATTTTCCAAAAAAATCTTCCACATTTTCTAATCAAAAATATAATATTTTGTAAATTATATAATTTTTAAAAAAAAATTTGTAACTCAAAAGTGTCTAATTTATGTTTTATTATTTTCCTTTTTCGAGATACCAATAGAGAACGGGGTTTTTTTCCAGGTTTTAAAAATTTTATTAATTGATTCAACGAAACAAATGTTTCAACGCAATTAAAGATTTCTGATCTTCATGAAATACCTTCTATGCGAAAGCTATTAGTAATTCTTTGCTAACTTATAACATACATAGACTTATCCAGGATTTTCCTATGGAGTGGGCGGGGGTGGCACTATCAGATGTGATTTTTTCGCCATAAATTTTACTGAAGTAGGTCCACTAATTGTATGTCCCCACACCGTATCGAATATCTGTTCCGGTTGTAAAATAGCGGTTCGGTTAGTCAAAAGTAATAATATCGGTTCGGTTTGAACTTTTAAAAAACCGAGTCAGACCTTTTCGCACGGCTCATTATTATTTTATAGAGGGATAGATAGCGTGATTAAAATATTCTCTTTTTTCTACAAAATTTTCTAATACGCTTGTCTGTCAAATTATTTTCTAAAAGGAGGAATATATTAATTTTACTGAGGGCATATCTATATGATTACTTGGGTTGCGCGCGCAGAAAAATATCCAAAAAAATAATTACTGATAATTTTTGTAGTTAAAAAAATGATTGAATTAAAATATCGCAATATTCAAACCGGTTCACAGCCATTTTTAGGGGTTCGGTTGTCAATTTTTTTACGGCTAAGGTCGGGTTTAGACATTGACATATAATGATACCTAGATTGACGACGCGTTCGTGATAACGTATTTGAAAGCGTCGTTGAATGCGAATCAGCTGGACCAGCTGTTTTGCTAACCCATGTAGTAATTATTCTCATGTTATATTATTAAATTGATAACGTGCTTCGTAATTATCTCAATGATCAGCCAATTGTTTAATAACGTTTGCGACAGACATAGGATTAATTTGGCTTCTCGTTTAAGATTTTTTAATAATGATATGGGTAGTCAAAATGGCATCCCCAGCTGTTTTCATTGATATACACTTTATACATTTCTAGAGGGGAATTAGGATATATCCCACTTTTAGGGTTAGGGGTACTCTTAGTTTTTCAGGAAAATTTCCGATGAGCAGAATTTATATCCCCTTTGTTCGCGCTTGATAGCATAGCTCTATAATTTAACATGATTTTAATTTGTAAATTACTTGTCGTTTAAGCGACCGCGGCATTTCTCTCTAAAATTCCCGACTGATGTTTACCTTAGAGAAGAGAAGAGACTTCAAAATTACAGTTAATTTAAACTTATATAAATAGAAGGCCGGGGCAATAGCGATCCCATCTAAAAAATTATCAATTCCATTTTTTTTTACTGGCAACCATTGATTACCGATGTCAAATTGATGCACAAATGCTTTTTAAGGTAGAGATTAATTATGAAAAATATATTCTTAACCTTTTTGTTTTTATTTTACTAGTGCCGTTGAATACATCGCTCTACCATTATTTTCGATATAAACAATCAATAAAATAATTATTGTAAATAAATGTGAAACAGACGATAAATATTTCTCGCTGGATTTTCGCTCACATAGTTACCCCACGAGGAAAAAAAAAATTGACGCGATCGATTAAAAAAAAACGATGAAAAAAAAATAAATATATAAATAAAATTATTTATAATAACGCATTTTATAGGCTTTGTTTAACCGTGGTAACAGCCGTATTGTTAACAGATTTACCATGTTATCAGCTGATAAAATTATAAATAATATAAAATTAGATGTGTTTCACAATCGCGATATAATTTTACGAAAATAATTTACATAATTGAGGTCGGCTAACGATCTACATAAATTTATAGGTTTTTTTTTGAACAATAGGTTTGTTTATTTTTTTTTAAAAAAATGTGTTACTTTACTTCTTTGACATCTGCACGAAGTAAACAAAATAAAAATTCGCAATATAAAAAACTATAACCCCCCCCCCCCCCCCTTCTTTTTTAATAAAATATAATTTGAAAAAAAAAAGATTAAAATATTATTCTTTTTTTTTTTCAACGAGATAGACTTAGCCCGTCTACAACAGTCACTATATGTATTGGTAAATACAAATGTACCATTCTTCATTTTTTTTAAATAAATTTTATTTTTAAAGATAAATAAAAATTTGAACCATCAGGCGCTATAGGCTATACCATAGCACTTAGTTTTTTTTATTAATTTTCTATACGCTTCAAGAAATATTTAAGTTATTTTATTATTTTTTTTTAAATGTTCATTTTATTTTACACGGCTTTTAATGTATCAACTTTTAAAATAAAAGATTTTTAAAAAAAAGGCATATGTCCGCCATATTTCTCTATTTTTAAAACCTTAGCTGATTGGCTGAAACGAATCGACGGAGGTAAAAGAGGGTGGGTGAGTGAAATGGAGACAGTTATAATAATAATTAAAAATAATAATCTCTTTTTATCCTCTTATAGCAAAAAATTATTTATTTATTTTTTATAAATAATAATGATGGAAAAAAAAAAGCTGCGAGCTATAAACTAAAAACGCAGTTAAGCTGAAACACGAAAAAAAAAAACAAAACAATAGAATAATAAATAATCATTATTTTTTTATTTATTTATTTTTTTTAAATTGAAAAAAAAAACAAATGCGAGTTTTGAAAAAAAAAACAGCGAAAGAAGGCGAGGGGAAAAAATAATTTTATAACGATCATTTTTTTTAAAAAAAAAAATATATTCTTTTTTTTCGAAAAAAAAAACATACGCTAATTTTTTTTTTTTTTTGAAAAAGGCTTTGACTTCCATTTTGATTTTTCGCGAAAAATTTTATTAAAAGAAATATATAATTCCTTTTTCTGTATTCGCGCGAGATTTTAGTTTGTTCTCTTTTTTTTGGCGGCGGAACTTTTTTTTTTAAAACGGTAGATGGTAAAAAGGCTAGAAAACGCTATGGACGATCTAAACAATTCGGACTACTTGAAAGCCGCTTACGAAAACTACCTGAACCAAGCCATCATGAATCAAGGCGACAATAAGGGGCAGCATATCAGGGATTTGGTTTTGAGCGATCGAATCGCCGCCAACACTCCGGAAGAACCGTTAAACGATTTTAACGCCAACGGTCAAGACACCGGGTTCTCGACCGGTTCAGAATCCAAGACGTTGAGTTTGACCGATCAATACTACAATTTCATGAACAACAAAGAATTTTTTATAGATGCCGTTCGAACCAAAGATCCGAGACTCAAATTTGTGAGAAAGCAAGGACCGAACCTCAAGAGTATTATTTGGACTACCTTTTCGGTCATTTATTTCGAAGGCGAAATTACGAATTTTGTCAAATGCGATCGATGTGATCACGTGTACAAATACGACAGACGAACAACAGGCACCTCTACCCTCAACAGACATCCGTGTATCAGATACACGGTGTTGGGCGTCTCCCAATCGAGCGATTTCAATTCTCGCTACAATATACCCAATAACAATTCCCCGCTCAATCAAAGCTTATCATCCAATGGCAACGAAACGGATTCTCCGCAATACAATAACGCTCCTTCCACTTCTCTAAATAATAATGGGGTCGGTGGGGAAAGACTAAAAATCGAGGAAAAATATGAAGACAATTCTATAAAATTGAGGGATAACATGCTTTACAACGCGGCTCAAGAGAACGACCTGCCCACTATGGTTCCTTTTAATTCCAATAGTAATCTCTATTATTCCAAAAACGCTAGTCTCAATGCCACAGAATCGCAGCTAAATCATACTTTCTCCAATAATTCTTCGTTTCCTCCTTCCAACAACCATTCCTCGCAGCTAAGGACAGATTATTATAATTATAAATCATATAACAAATATGCAAACCCTAAAAACGAGATTCCTCACGGGGCAACAGCAGACGATACCAAACATCACGTGGTTACTCAATCGGCTCTGAACGCCTTGCTAAAACAAAACGAGTTCAAGTACAGCGTGGTGGATAAATATAATTACAACAGTCTTAATTACCAACAACAATTGCAAAGAGATAGGGATAATAAAGATCTGGTGAGGAATAATTCCTCCACCATAAATCACTTCCCACCTGGATCCGGAAGTCTGTCCTCAATATTGGAGAAAAATTATACTCCTATATACAGATATTCTCAGCATTCCATTTATCCTCCAGCTCCTAATTACAGTTATTCGCAATCAAATAATTCGTATTCTGCCGCTATCAAATCTTATTCATCGCAAAGTCCTAGTAAGATAAATAATAAACATTCTTTATTTCATAAAATGCCCTGCTAAACTATTCCGCCTTATAATAATGATCAGCTGTGTCGCTGGGGGATTTTTTTGTTACGCGAAAGCGGAAATGCGTCAAACGATGGCTAAGGCGTCCAATCAAATCATCGCATTGGCAACCCATTATTGCACAATGCGGAAATTAGATTGTTTTTTTTTCTCTCATTCGCTGGTGGGTATTTTTTTTTAAATTAAAATACTATAGTATATAAAATTCTTTGTGAAATATAGATTTAAATCAATTTTAACATTTTTTATTGATTTATTTATATGCGAATTAGAGATCAGCTGCTATGGCCCCGGACTGGCAATTTTTAAAAAAATCTTATAACGGACCGAACAATTTAAGCATGAAATATGAGGCACACAAGGGATCGTAAATCTCTGATTCTCACCAAAATTTTAATAGGCCAGCCCGGCCATATTTTAATATATATATTTTTTTTTTAATTTCATCTATCTTTGTATTTTTAAGAACCGTCTATCTAAATTACTACATCTACAAAATAATATATTTTTTATTCCATTATACAATTACAAATTCGCAAAAAAAATCTCGTAGTCTTACTTAATTTTTTGATCAAACCCAGGCCAGCAGTAAAATTTTTTATATACCCGCCCCGATCCGATATTAATATTAAAATAAATTCTCAAGCCCATAATTAGCTTCAAAAGATTTTTCCCAAAGGCCCATATACAAAAATTTAATGAAAAAAAAATACAATATTTAAGTGTATTCTAGGCAATCATCTTATTTACGTTACTAAAATTTATTATTGTTTCTAAGAAATAAAAGAAACCCGTCCGCTAGAAAATATAATATTACATATGGGCCGGGGATTGGTCCGGACCATGAAGGTCTCTGGTACAGATACAAACATAATTGATTTATAAAACGGTTGTTTTAGATAATCTCCTAGAGGAGATATATAAAAATCTTGATTGACAATTGAGGAAAAATGTGATGGCCGGAAAATTTGTGCAAACAAAATTAAACGGGCCAAAGGGGGGGGGACTTTTCTTAAAACTTTAACCGGCTGGGCATAACGTGTCTAAAAAATGTTAGCGGACCGAACTGAACCGGAACCTGCGGACATCTAATATGAATGGTAATTTTATAATAAACATTACAATCATAGGGATAGTGAGGTTAGCCAATGTATGGCGATTATTTGATTTGTATATTATCACGAACACCGTGTGTTCATCTTTATAAACCATTTCTAGACAAAGACAAAAGACCAAACTCCGTCTCAAAAAAAAAAAAGAATGCGCGAATTTGACACGTTTCGCAATTTTTAATTTAGATCGTATATCCGTATGCTTTAATTTTAAAAATAACGAATTGTCGTCTCCAATATCTTCTCTCATTTTTTTTTCGTCCTTCGGATATCATCCACATATATATATTATTTTTTTTAAAAATAGCAGCTAATTAATTTTACATTCAACCTACCCCACCCCACACATTCCCCCTTCCGCCCTATATTATTTCTTTTTTTTTCTACGAAATCCTTGTCTTATAAAAAAAAAATTTTTGGAAAATCAATAAAAACACAAAAATATCTAAAATAAAATGGCTTTTAAAAAAAAACGCATTTATAAAATACAAATTGAAATGCAATACATAAGATATAATAAAAGCCGCTTTTTAAAAAAAATATGTGTTTATCGCACGCGAAATTATTTATTTCTACTCTGACCAATGAGGTAACTATATCCGTCTATCAATTCAATAATACCCCCCCCCCCCAACTGGACAAGTTCCTCAACCTTGGAAGGAACTTATCCGATATTTAATAATAACCCTAATCGGTCAAGCTCCCCCATCTTTGAAGGAACGCATCCTAATACCTATAATAAAGGTTTAGGCCCTGCTACTTGTTTGGGTTATACTGTTCAGATCGGGCCATATTAAAATTATTAGAAATCCGTGCTGAATTCTTACTTCTTATCAAATTCGGGCCCTAGTTCGCAAACTTTCATTTTTAAATACATACTCGTTTTCATAAACAACGACAGACTCACAATAAAATCGCCATATTTAAAATGATCGAATTTTAAAAACCGTTTATCGGAGGTCGTAAAATTATCCGGCAATTTGGAATCCGGGGCTGGGTTTTAAAATATTTTATATATTTTTTTTTTTTATAAATACCTTACCAGATGTGATTTTAAATTTTATTTTCATGGCTTAATCTATAAGAAATAATTAACTTTTGAAAAGTGGTATTTATAATTAAGATTATTCCATATCCTATAGGTGGGGAAACCGCCAAATTTAGCCGATTAAGCCTTTAAATCTTAGCCAACATAATATATTAAAATGATTTACAACCAATCACATGATGGAAATGTTTTACAACAAATCACGTGATAATACGGTTTATGTAGCCATAGTGAATTTTAAATAGTTCTGGCCAATAATTTTTTTTTTTAAAGTAATGAGCCGCCATGTAAAAAAGAAAGATGAAACGAAATGAAAAATATTAAAAAAAAATTTTCCATTTAAAATTAAAAGGCAAAAAACTATTAGCTGACTATGCCTTATTAATCTAAGATAACATATGTTTTATGGCCAAGTTACCGCTATACGAACTGATAGCGGTGGATTTTTTTTGTGTAAGCTATAGCGCAGTCTAAAAAGCGGCCATGACTAACGAGGCCTACAACCTAGAAATGCATTATTTCATTTATAACACTCGTCTAATTTTTTGCAATTCGCGTATTTTAACTCGTTCCCAACTCGAGGTCTGCACGGGTAGAGCTTTAACCCGCTAGAGGATTTTCCTTTAAGAATGAAGCGGCTATCTATCATATTTTGACTGACGTTAATCCACTTGCTAGCCAAAATAAGGTCAAAAATTTATTAGAAAGCAATAAGACCCATTTATACTTTTTTTCAAAAATATTTATAACGGAATCACGTGGTCAAGTCCGATCCTGTTACCACACCAGACGCTAGAAAATATTATTTATTTTTATATTAAAAGAATAAAATTACAACGCTATCTAACATTTGTAATAAAAACACATTCTCTTTATATAAAATAAAATATCGAAAACCGTTCATACTCTATGCATCATTGCCCACAAAAAATTTGCGTTTATTCCAACGGGTGCTTAAATTAGGCAAGTTATTTTTTTTGTTTATTTTTTTTTACAACATTATTTAAAATGTTGTTTATTTTTGACATAAAATTTCAAATTTTTTTTTTTTTCACTCTACAAAAAAAAATATTTTTTAAAATACAATTTCTGTTTCCAACGGAGTCGTGACCTAAATTCATATGATATAAAAAACATGTTGTTTTTTTTGAAAAAAAAAACTTATAAGCTAACACACAAGCCTTAATTTTTCTTGTTTTTTTTAAAAAAATATATATATATAAAATGAAATATAAAAGTTTGAACGAAATAAATATAATATTACCTTCTATAACCTATATTTTTGATTTGTTATCTTGCATTTTAAAATGAGGCTGTTTCGGTGTTGTTGTTTTTTTTAGCTCGAACTTAATTTCCGCTCATAAATTCTGAATCGGAGCGTTTTTATTCGGACAAAAAAAACGGTTCGGACAACACTTTTTTTTGTGTCTGTCTCATTCTATATGCAGTGATTCATTTTTTAACTCTTAACACCCTCTTGAAAGTTGTTTTATCCTAGAAATGTAATATGAAGCTACAGGCGTTTTTCCGCTATTGCCCTTTATATTTCCGGTTTTTTTAAAGAGCGGCCGAGCTCCTATTTTTTACGGCATTCAACATGTTAGATTTTTCGGGTTCCTCGGCTCCGGTTTTCGAAGCGCAATATTTTGCCACTGGCACTTAGTGTTGTTAAACAACTCAATTTGAGCCGATTTTTAAAAACGGCTATCTCAATATCTTATTCAGAAAAATATTATGCAAGCCCTAAAGATTTTGTTCATAGGTGGCACATAGGATTGAACATCTATTGGCGAAATCTTGACTCTTGGGCAATATTTTCCTAGCTATAATGTCGAGTTAGCCGTTTTTAAAAATCGGCTCAATCCAGCTGTTTAACAACACTACTGGCACGAGTTGCCTTTGGCACCAGCCTGCGGATATTCGATAATTAATAAAAAAAAATTCCCAAAAATTAATTAATAATTGATTGTATACCAAAAAATTATCAGTTGTATTTTTTTTTATCTAAGCCTTGCTTTTCAGATTTTCACTCTTAGAGATCCACTGATGGTTTAGATAAGTATATTTTTATAAACGAATCATTTCCGCGCTTGGCTAACGCCCGATGCGGAACTACACGATTTTCAGAAAATAAAAACGTAACTTGCAGGCTTCTCGTATGTTTATATGTTGTTGACAAACAATTATGGAATACGTGGCGGGGCGAAGGAAGGCGTCGAAGAGGCGTCTTCCACGAGACGTCTTTTTTTTAATTTTTTAGAAGGCGGAATTTTTATATTTGTTTACAGCTAGTGTTGTTAAATAGCTCGATTTGAGCCGATTTTAAAAACGGCAAACTATTTTATCCAGAAAAATATTACCCAAGCCTTAAGATTTTGATCATAGATGACACATAGGTTGGGACATCTAACCCTTTTTTAAAAATCGTCATACTACACTATTATAAACAGCTGATATTACCAATATTTATTTATCCCAACTTATTCGAAAACCCTTTTCCCTATTTTCATTGGGTAATTCCTATGGAAATCAAGATAGGGAATTGTTATAATTTGGATTACATTTATTTTCCATTTCTTTCAAACATTTATTATAATGAATTATTTTATTTTTATTACAAACTTCTACATTCGTACACCACGGTAAAATTAATTAAGAATATGCATTAATATTTATATTATATAGTTAGGTTTACTCATAATTTAGAGAAATTTTATCTCATAACTGTTTTATCACTGTTGACTCATGCGACGGTTCCACTACCGCCACTGGTCTATCGGTCTCCGTCTCTTCTGAAATTATCGCTTGCGGATTCTCCCTCCTTGTCAAAGAGGGTAATTTCGCTCGAACTGGCCACGCCTCCCTCCTTGTCCCACTCTAACGTTATTGGGCCCACGAGGGCATCGAATTTGCAGGTGATCAGCGGCTCCACATATAAAACACATTCTAACTCTCCTCAATGAACTTATTCCTGCATTGCTGGATTCTGGCAACTCGGACTGTTCCCGATCATTAGCCATTTCCACATGCATTATTCGTCTGACTCTCTGCGGCCTCGGAATATTATTATTGCGCCACCCTGAAGACAAACTATTCCCTTGTAAGGATAATCGTAAAAAAAATGAAAATAATTAGATACTGGACAGAATATAAAATAGGATTTAGGAATATGTTCTATTAGCGGCAATTCCTTGGAGGAATTCTGCCAGATGCCAAAACCATTTATGAAATTTTTTTTCTCGCTCATCACGTGATAAATCTTTTAAAAAAAAATGATATAGGAAGAAAAGAAAAGAGGAACATTGGTCGCCAATTAAAAATTAGTATAAAAACGTTACGTTTAAAGAAATTGGCATGGAAGGCAGCCTAGTAAATAATTGAAACAAAATGCCAGGAATTCGTCGTTGTATATAATGGGAGAATGTAACGATTCTAATTAGCATTTTTCGGGGATGGGTTGATGAAGAAGGGAATAGTTTGTCTTCAGGGTGGCGCAATGATAATATTCCGACAATAATGGCTCATTCATAGAGGAGAGTTAGAATCTGTTTTATTTGTGGAGCCCCTGATCACCTGCAAATTCGATGTCCTCGTGGGCCCAATAAAGTTAGAACGAGAAGAAATTTTAGAACGCGATATTCATCCTCGGCATGGAAGAAGAAGAAGCAATAATGGGATACCGATAGACCAGTGGCGGTAGTAGAACCGTCGCATGAGTCAACAGTGATAAAACTGGGAAAATAACTAATAAAATGCTATCTTTTACTTTTTAAAGGAGTCAAGTTTATTCAACCTCTGGAGAAAAATGATTGCCCCCCCCCCTCACCCCAAAAAAATATTTCAAATATATATATCTTTATTGTTCATTACTGCTTAAATCGATATTTTTTGGATTTACTAAGTGCTCTAAGGATTTTGAGAAAAACTTCTAGAAGGTCGAGGCGAATTAAAACATTCGCGTCTTAACATCTCAAGATACGCGTTTGCGGTAAAACAAAATAATACGATGAACAGTTCTTAGCTTTAAATAGGGTTTTTATTTCTCCATTTGAGAAATTTAAACTTTTTCTGATAAGTGCTCATGGGCTAACTTAGGTTATTTAAATTTAAAATTTTTATGTTTGAATTGAACAAATAAAATTGACAGGCCTCGAGTTACCATCACGTGTTTTCTCACGCATTTTAAAAATTGTTATAATAAAAAAAGTCACGTTCTTTTTCTCACGCCTTTATCAAACCTTTTTTTTCTCTTCTTCTTTGTTTATAAATAAACAAAAATATTTGTTTTTAACAATTTTTAATTATTTTTATTGTTAGTAAATAAAATAAATTATTTACAAAAAAAAATGGTAGTCAAAGCGAATCACATGATTGCTTCCTAAATTCGTTATTTTGTCGCTTTCTTGTGTACGTTAATTTTTTTTTTAAAATCATTATTATTCAAAATTGTATCAATCAATTTTTCGATCAACCATATTGCCACAAACGATAATTCTAGCTTTGTTATGTAAGTTCTTAGAACCATATTATTACACATTATAATCAATATACTATTAAAATTAATAAGTATTCATATTGTATCAATCACCTATAAAATTTATCATAATTTTTTGAATTAATTTTTCCTTTTCCAAAGTCAAATAATTTTGTCTAAATTTTGTTCTTCGTTACAAAAAAGATAAATTTAAAATAATGTTACTTTAAGATCATACTCTTGGTTAAATATTATAATATCCATTCCCTAGGAAAATTATATTTTATTGAGATTAATAAGGTAGAATAATCGATTGTTTTATTAAGAATTATCGTCTGTTAAAATTTATTTTTAATTATATAATATAAAATATCTTATTGGTAGGTAGATTAGATTTACACATTTACAAATTTTATTATATATTAATATTACTAAAAATATATAATTAATAATTTCAAATAACCTCCAAATATTTCTTAAAATCAAATTTTATTTTAAAAATACTTTTTTACTTGTAAATAATTAAAACTTATCTAGTTGTAAAACCTAAAAGTATTTTTTATTTTCATCAATTGAAAATTAATTGATTGATTTCTTGTCATTAGAATGGATTTTAACGATGCCATTTGTCATCATAACTCAAGTACAACCTCCTCAAATAAGGATAATAATTTTCGACGCCAGACATGTAGGCCCGCAAAGACGAAGAAAATTTATATGGTGCGGTATAATAAACGCTGGGAACAAAAATACGAATGGATTAGTCAGCATGCGGGGGACATGGTAAAATGTGGCCTATGTCAATCCCGCTTTTCGATTGGCCACGGCGGGGAGCACGACGTCATCAAACACACGAAATCCTTGAAACATAAACTGGCGGCTCAACGATCCGGTAGAGCCATTTTGTTGCATCATTATCTTCGAACCAATTCCCTAAACTTTAAAATAAAAACGATACCGGAAGCAATATTTTAGTTGGATAAAAAAAAATATCCCATTTCTATATTTTTATTCGTTCTGACTTATTAAAAGCAAATTTATATTATTCTATCATGATTGAACACAATAACTTTACAAATTTTTAATTACTCCGCCCCCCCCCCTCAGAGTCCAGATTTTTTTTTTAAAATAACGCTATTAAATTCACAATAGCATAAAAGGGGGGAAAGTTAAATCTTATAGGGGGGTTGAGTTATATTAATATATAAAGCCTTACAAATTTACACACGCTATTCAGCAATTTTTTTTTGCTACATCAAATTATCTTTTTTTGGTTATGGGTTTTACCCCGAAAATCGTAACTTTTGATTCAAAAAATCAATAACAAACTTAAAATTTACTCAATCTTTTTTTTTATTCCTAATTAGTTTTGAGCCGAATTTCCGGTTTCTCTTTTGTTTCTAGATTTGACCAGGTTCTCCTACCAATACTTCCGGTTAACTTTACCTCCTAACGAGCTGACAAAGAGGTTCAGCATTTTAGAACAATTTATGTCAGTAAATGCGATTTCTAGCAAAATCAGGTCTTGCAAAATTTTTTAAAAAATAACGCATCCTATGTTTGCTAAATATCCTAGATATTCGAAACCATCACGACTCTGACACAAACACTATTTATTACCTTTATTATTAGAACTGGTTTAGGTTCCTAAAAATTTTAAAGGGGGGTACCTTCCTTTTCCGCATATTTTAACCGTAACTTCCGGTTACAAACTATTTTTTTGATTATTTCACCAATTTTTTGATATTAAAATTAATTATTATTTTTTTTTCTTCTCTTCATTTTATTATTCTAGCCGAGAAGGTTGGCGTTATGCTGACGACTCAATATCTCAACGACAAATCTGGTAACCACGAGGAGGCGTCCCCGCAAAATGTCGATACCAAAATCGTTAGAACGGAGGAAGAAAGTTTTAATTTCTTATACTTTATTACCTTTTTATTTATTTACATGCATAGGTATATTTTTGATATAGGTCGATACATTTAATTTCTACCGATATCATTGCCCGATACTTTCGCGTACTCTCCAGTTGTTGTATATTACATACAAGTAGGATTGTTATGGCTTTTTTTTAATGAATGAATTATTTATCGGATGTCATTTTTTTTATCACGCGGCTCAAGCTATGCGTAATTTTTAAAATACATAAGGTTAAATTATACCGCTTCCGTTATCTTTTATCGCTTCAACGATATCGCGGCGTTTGGCGATCATAGTTTAAACGAGGCCTGAGTTCTAAAAACAAAATGGGTCATCTGTTTTTAAAAATTCATAAAATAAGATTTTTATTAGATAATTTTCGCTCTTCAATTTAACCAATGGCTAGACTGAGTAAAGGGTTTTCTGATCTGAATATTTTTTTTCCCCTAAAATTTGGAATCTGATTAACATTTCCTTATAAAAAAATAGGTGAATTCTTGTTCTTAGATTGTGTCCCTGCTCATAGAGTTCTTCTAATTCCAAACTGTCATTTATTTCAAGGAAGCATTTAAACTCTTAAATAAAAAAATGTTGAAAAGGTTTGAAAAGGATTTTGACTAGGTACCATAAAATAAAATTATATTCCATTAGAAAAAATTAAATTAAAAATTGCACTCATTTTTGAGGATTTAAATTAATTTTATTTTTAATTTGATCTAAAAAATTATTTATTTTTTTTAATTTAAAATAAAAAAACAAATTTTGGAAAATTAATTTTAATTATATGTGCTTGTTGAATTTGATAATTATTGATTTAATCTGTAAAATAAATGACAAATATAGTCTTTAAAAAATATATATATGTAGATTTAGCAAGAAATAACTAATTTGAGAATGGAGATGTGAAGGCTGAACGTGATAAATGTTGTGTAACTGTGATTTTTGATTTATTATATTCAGTTCTCAGAGTTTGATAAAGAAAAAAAAATTTGAGTAATAATCTGATTTTGAACATTTTTAAAGAAGATCTTCAAAAGATTATTTTTGCTTTCAAACCCTGATTATAATATAAACTTCCCCATGGTAATAACTCTACAACATCCATGCAATAGAAAAGTATATTACATTCCATCGCTGAATATTTCTGGGGTCATTTTGGATAAAATTTAAATCACTCATAATATAAGTATTAATTAGATTTATAATATGTAATACCTATTGCATATGATTTTTTTGAAAAAGCCTCTAATAGTATAGGGGTGATATTTGCCTTGTCCAATACTATTCCTGTTCCTAAATTGATTTATACATAATGTAGCCTAGATCAATTATAAGTAGCCCAAAGAATTTGGATGTCTAACTCAATATGTCTGGCTTATTTAGTTAATATTAATGTAAGATACATCCCTCAGAAAACACCCTCTAAGCCAATTAGCATAATATATATTTTTTAAGATATTCAGATAGCAGAAAGATTACCCAAAGTCATCCCCCAATCCTATTTAATATTTTAAATCTACCGAACTAAAATTTTATGAATTATAATTAATTACCTTACCTTATATTTTAGTACTCTTTTGATCATATAAGACCCATTCGAATAAGGGAGTACGATATTTATTCGATAAAATTCGAGAAATGTACCTTCATGAATTTTTTTTAATAAAAAAGAAGTTAAATATTTTTGTGATAGTGGGGGGGGGGTTAAGGTCTAGACCTATATAGACAAATGTATTAAGTTAGACCTCGTTTAGTAAGCGCGAAACGTCGCTATGACGTAGCTGTATAATTTAACCTTCGGTATTTCACAGTTTATGCGTAGTTTCAGCGATATCGCCTTATTTTCCTACACCTTATAATGTTTTTTATTGGGTTGTTTTTTAAATAGTAAAAAGGATATTTTCTTGTTGCTGGCTAATTTTTTTTATATTGCTTTTAATAATCATCTTTATCCAGAATCAGTTCTAAAATTTAATTTGAGAAATTAAATTAATGTGAAAATATAGTTTTTTAATGTATAAATTTCAATGACCTAAACTTATAAAAAAAAAAGAAAATAAATAATATGATTTATTGAGAAAATTGACAATATATTTTTTATATAAATGTTGACAACATCTTAAAACACCAATAAAAAACCTTATAACTTTATAAAATATACGATTGAGAAATTTGTAGTGTATTTTTTAATTTAAATGGACCAATATTTTGAAACACCAATGAAAACTCTTTGTCCTGACCCTTATAAAAATATATGTTTATTGAGAATTGGATTTAAATTTTGTGATTATTCGTAAAAGTTTAGATTCGGTCATAAATTATCACTAGTGTTTTTTTAGAGGATAGTGATTTCACAATGCAACACCGGGTTAGAGATTTTTCCCATCATTTTTTACCGCCCAAATTTTGGTGCTTTTAAATAAGGATGTTTATGATGGTGTTTAAAAGAGAAATTGAAAATATGAGAAATCAGATGATTTTTTTGAATGAATGAATAGTTTAGTTTAAAACCGGAAAAGAAAAAAGTAGTAATCAGTATTTTTTTATGCTTACACTAGTTTGTAAAAGGCTGCACAGCCCAGCTGTTCTTTATTTTTTTCTAATTAATTCGGAATAGAATTCTTAAATTATTTTCATGGTTTTTTTTTTAAAAAAAAAATTACGATTAGACTCGACCCTATTCTGGGGGAAAATAGCGAACCTGGGTTTGATGGATGAGTTCGTGAACGAAATAAAATGCGCTCTCGATGACCTGAAACATTCCGTTCTCAGGGAACTCATGTGCTTGAGTAACTCCGCCACCCTTCAAGCCTTTCGAGCCCAAAAAAACGGGAGTTTCGTTCAAAGTATAATATATTTAAACTGCCCTTTACCTATATTTGCACAATATTAGGGTTAACTAGGGCCCTCCCTAATCCGTCTGTTGGGGATGGGGGGGGGGGGGGTCAGCCGAGGATAGAGTGGGTAGAAATGTGCTTACGTTGTCATATTTTGGGTCCATAAAAATTTAATCTTGCAGAAATATTTTTGGCGTTAATGTATTAATGTTGCTTTATCTAAATTATTAATGGAATCAACTGTGATTATATAGGTGACCACCCTTATAGCAATATTTATAAAGAAATTTTTGTGTGATCAAAACTATCCCAAGTGATTATAAGAATTAAACTCTTTTTCATCGTCTTTTTGAACCTAACCGTATTATTATGGAAGATGATATTTGATTGGTACATTTGTTTATTACTAATTTTCAAGTGTATTTTGTTTTTCATCTCATTTAAAATATGGGTAATGTTTTTGGCTGAATTTTAACAAGGATTAATATTTCAAAATACATCAAATAATATCGCATTTTTTAGTTACTCTAGTAAATTACATAGGGTTATTCCATGTCAAATGAGCAAAAAAATCAAGATTTTCGGCCGACCCCTTTCAATTTCGATAAAAAGTTGTAGACTGGTTATATATGTTCCCATTAGAATATAAACAAAATTTTAGCGCATTAGCAACTATATTAGCGGAGATAATCGGGGCTAAAGGTCCAAAAAACGTCTTTTTTTGCTTTTTACTGATGTTAAATAACTAGTTTTTAATTTTAAACTAAATATGATCAAATATTGAATCTAATATCAATAGCTAAGTTAATAATTGATAATTATGGCTAAAACATCAAAATTAATTTTTGATAAAATATGGGTCATCTTATGGTCAGTTGAAAACTTGAAATTAATATTTCGAAATGTATATGATCTCCGATTTTTAATTTTTTTTAAGAAATATTATCCGTTTACTATTTTTTTAATAATTTCTTCAACAATTAGGATGGCTAGACATTTATTTAAAAAAATATAGCGATTTTTATACTTTAAAAAAATAGATGGCGCTATATATAATAGTTTTAATATGTTAAAATTCATTTTTTTATTTATTAAAAATATTTTAATGTATAATATATCTTAAAATTGGATTATATAATTTTGTAAACCTTATTCCCCTGAGATATTCGCAGGATAAAAAATTTTAATAATTTATTTAATATTTCAATGTAAATTAAAAATAATTAAAAAATCCGACTAGCACACGAACAAAAAAGCAGGATTAAAGGAGTGCAAAAAAATTATTAAGGGAAAAATCGAAAATCACATTAATTACCAGGCCTACCCCCAACCCTCCACCCCCCCCCCAGACTAAGTCATACCCATCAAGATCAAGAATATTATGAAATTGTAATTATCTTAAATTATTAAAATAACCAGATATAAAGAAAATTTCGAAGATTTTGAAAAATTTTTTAAGCAATAAAAATAAACAAAATTATAGTTCTGATGAAATAAGACTCATGCCTGGAATAAAAGATTGTATATCTGTTAAAGGCGAGAAAGAATCAGTCCAAAGACTTATATTAAATAAGCTTAAATAAATATTCAAGATGTTTAAGGAAGAATACCCAAATATATCAATTGGATTCTCTAAATTTGCCGAACTTATACCAAAAAACTGTATTTTAGTTGGAGCTAGTGGCACACACACTGTTTGTGTCTGCGCCATTCATCAGAATGTGAAATTAATGACAAATGTAGAAAAATTTAAAAGATGGGGAATTTTTAACAATTCTAGATTATTCTGAGAATTATTCCTTCATTTTACAAGATGAAGTTCAGGGATTTCATTGGAACAGTGCAGACCACTATACATCCATTTGTAGCATATTATAAATCTGGAGAAGAATTAAAAAATATAAATTTTGTTATTTTATCCAAATTTAATTCTAAACCAGAAAAAATAATATATTTTTCAGATGAAGCCGCATCTCAATATAAGAATCGCAAAATTTTTCTGAACATATGCCTTCATAAATACGATTTTAATATTCCTGCCGAATGGCATTTCTTTGCCACTGCTCACGGCAATGCAAGTGACGGTATCGGAGGAACTGTCAAAAGATTAGTTGCCAGAGCTAGTCTTCAAAGGCCAAATAAAAATCAAATCCTAACCTCATTAGAATTATATAATTATGCTAAAGAAAATAATAATGGAATTCCATTTGAATATGTATCTAATCAAGAATATATCGAAGAGGAATTAACCCTTCGTAAAAGATTTAATGCACTGCTTATACATAGGACCCAAAAAATTCACGGGGTTATTCCCATTGATCAAAATAGACTAAAACCCAAAATATATTCTAATTCCAAAAAACATAATATAAAACAAGTTTCGTTTTTAAATGAGAAAATTAATCTTTAAAATATTAATGGATATATAACATGTGTATATGATGATAAATGGTGGTTAGGATATATAATCGATAAAAATGATATAAATGAAGAAGTAAAAATCCGATTTTCACACCCTTGTGGACCTTCAGCCTCATTTAAATTTTTTCTGAAAGATGATATTTTAGTGTTGCCTAAATCTCATATTCTCTCGCTGGTCAATCCTTCTACTCCCACCAGTCAAACATATATATTATCTCCTGAAGAAATCTCACAAGCTAGCCAGGCTTTGTATTCCTTTAGATGAAATAAGATTTAATTAATTTATAAACTAGCTTAATTAGGCTAAATTTGTGAAGATTTTAAAAATTTATGATCTGAATTACAAATAAATATATATAATGGACATTGTAATCGATTTAGTATGATATATATACATTAAAATATTTTTAATCAATAAAAAAAATGAATTTTAACATATTAAAACTATTATATATAGCGCCATCTATTTTTTTAAAAGTATAAAAATCGCAATATTTTTTTAAATAAATATCCTGTCATGCTAATTGTTGAAGAAATTATTAAAAAAATAGTAAACGGATAATATTTCTTAAAAAAATTAAAAATCGGAGATCATATACATTTCGAAATATTCATTTCAAGTTTTCAACTGACCATAAGATGACCCATATTTTATCAAAAATTTTGATGTTTTCGCCATAATCATCAATTATTAACTTAGCTATTGATATTATATTCAATATTTGATCATATTTAGTTTAAAATTAAAAACTAGTTATTTAACATCAGTAAAAAGCAAAAAAAGACGTTTTTTAGACCTTTAACCCCGAATATCTCCGCTAATATAGTTGCTAATCCGCTAAAATTTTGTTTATAATCTAATGGGAACATATATAACCAAGGTCCTTGAAGTTGTAAGAACGATGTAAGGATCAATTAACAAAACCTATGCCATTATTTAGAGTCTTAATTGATCCTAATTGATCTTCAAACCAGACATCAGCAGAATTAAAGGTTTTTGAGTTATAAGCAAAATAATGAAAGTGCGAAGATTTGCAGCTGTAAGAATGATTTGAAGATCAATTACCGAAACTTATATCATTGTATAGCCCGTTAATTGATCCTAATTGATCTTCTATCCGGAAAGCAGCAGAATGAACCGTTACTGAGTTATGAGCAAAATAAGAAAGTGTTGGCACTTTGCCAAAACCGAAAATATAAAAGATCACGATCTGAAACTTGGCAATTATTTAAGCTTTAATTTGTGCGTTAATAATATCCAAACCGGATATCGATATCACTAACCGCATTTGAGTTATGACCTGTTTTTATAGCGTGAAGTTGTAAGAATTTTTTTAAAAAGTGAGGATCAATTACCAAAATATATGCCAAATTGTGGTGCGTTAATTGATCCTCCAGAATCTTTAAACCGCATATCAACGGAATGAACCGTTCGTGAGTTATAAGCAAAATAGAAAGGTTTTGGCACCTTGCCAAAATTAAAAATTTAAGCAATCATTTTTTTAGTTATAGCCAATATTTAGTACCTTAATTGATCCTCCACATTCTTTAAACGAAATGTCAAAAAAATTAAAGGCTATTGAGTTATAAGCAAAATAATGAAAGTGCGAAGTTTTGCAGCTGTAAGAATAATTTGAGGATCAATTACCGAAACTTATATCATTGTATAGCCCGTTAATTGATCCTAATTGATCTTCTATCCTTAAAGCAGCAGAATGAACCGTTACTGAGTTATGAGCAAATTAAGAAAGTGCTGGCACAGCCAAAACCGAAAATATAAAAGATCACGATCTGAAATTTGGCAATTATAGGCTTTAATTTGTGCGTTAATAATTTCTAAACCGGATATCGATATCACTAACCGCAACCGAGTTATGACCTGTTTTTAAAGCGTGAAGTTGTAAGAATTTTTTTAAAAAGTGAGGATCAATTACCAAAAACTATACCAAATTGTGGTGCGTTAATTGATCCTCCAGAATCTTTAAACCGCATATCAACGGAATGAACCGTTCGTGAGTTATAAGCAAAATAGAAAGGTTTTGGCACCTTGCCAAAATTAAAAATTTGAGCAATCATTTTTTTAGTTATAGCCAATATTTAGTACCTTAATTGATCCTCCGTATTCTTCAAACGGAATGTCAAAAAAATTAAAGGAAAGTGAGTTTATCAACAATAAATATTTCAAGGTCAAATTTCGACCTGACAAATTATGGATATTCATTTTTTAGTTCTCCGTTGATATCAAAAAGTTTAATAGCCGAAATTAAAATGTAAAAGTTAATAACAAAATCAATAAAAACAAATTACGGTACACTAAAACAAAATCTAGTGCAGCGACAGACATTCTATTAATTTTGGCATTATTTAATCATTGTAAATTTTTTTATGAGCTTACTAAATGTTTCAAGGTCAAATTTATTCCACTGAAATTATATATGCACTGTCCTATTAAATTTTATCGTTTAAAAGGCCAATGATAAAGCTCTAAAGCCTATTATATTATTCTTATAAAAGTATATTCCTATTTTATTGATAGATCTTAACTATTTTAAAAAATATTAGAAGAATGTAAGTAAACTTGAATTACAAGTAGCTATCTAGAAAAATTATGTATTATTTAATTTAGCCAAGTATATCGGCCTTTATGGCTTTTGTACTTGTCGTTATATTTTAATCTAAGTCGAAGATTTTTTATGTAATATAATAGTGAAGGAATGGTGAATAATATTATGTACGAATAGTAATATATATTTGTTATAATCACGATATATATTTATTATAAGCGTGGGGGCGTTGTGTTCTAATTAATGTTGTTTAAATTTTTCGGCTTGAGTACCCTTGGATATTTCATAGGAGATATGTGGAATTGATTGAGATTTCATCCAATCGTCAGGTTGTTGTTGTAGGTACGGGAAGGCCCGAGATCAGGGAAAAGATCATAACGTTATCTAATATCCCTGAGAAAGCTATATATAAAGATTATAAATTATTTTAACTATATAATACTTGGTTCTCAGTTATTCAATTCGATGTACAGATATTGTGTAATATCCCTGGTTATTCAATTCGATTAACGGATATTGTGTAATATCCGTTAGAAAGCTATCTATAAAGATTATAAATTATTTTAACTATAAAATACTTGGTTCTCAGTTATTTAATTCGATGTACGGATATTGTGTAATATCCGTTAGAAAGATATCTATAAAGATTATAAATTATTTTAACTATATAATACTTGGTTCTCAGTTATTCAATTCGATGTACGGATATTGTGTAATATCCCTGGTTATTCAATTCGATTAACGGATATTGTGTAATATCCGTTAGAAAGCTATCTATAAAGATTATAAATTATTTTAACTATATAATACTTGGTTCTCATTTCTATCATTTTTTCTTTTTTCATTTGTTTTTTTTTATCATTTTTTTTCTTTTTTGTTTTATCAATTATTTAATATGTTATGAGGGCAAATGTGCTAGGTGTAAATGAGAGATCGGCTATAAAAAAATTAAATTGCTTCCAAAAAATTATTTAATTACATTATAATAGAATAGGAAGTTAGATTTGGTATTGTTGCAGCTTGAAAATTTAAAATAAAATGATTTATTATGAATAATTTATTTACCATCAGTTGTCAGCAAACAGGCCTTGACCCTATCTGAGGGCGAATCTGCATGGTGTAAATGGGATCGGCTATAAAAAAATTAAATTGCTTCCAAAAAATTATTTAATTACATTATAATAGAATAGAAAGTTAGATTTGGTATTGTTGCAGCTTGAAAATTTAAAATAAAATGATTTATTATGAATAATTTATTTACCCTCAGTTGTCAGCAAACAGGCCTTGACCCTATCTGAGGGCGAATCTGCAAGGTGTGAATGATGTTTTGGCGATTTTAAATTTGGCGATTTAGTGGTTTTATTTTCGTATTTTTTATAATTTTTTTATCTTTTTTGTTTATTTTTTTTTTGCTTTTTTGTAAACAGTGTTCAGTTCAGAGGTGTTAAGGATTAAAAAAATTTATACTATATATATATATAATTTATGTGTGAATTATTGTTTTAAAATGTTGCATAATTATCGTTATAATAGACCGCCTATTGAGATAAAAATGAACTAAGTGCTAAGTCAGATTTAGTTAGAAACTGATGTGTTAAACAAATCAAATCCATAATTTGTCAGGTTGAAATTTGACCTTGAAATATTTATTGTTGATAAACTCACTTTCCTTTAATTTTTTTGACATTCCGTTTGAAGAATACGGAGGATCAATTAAGGTACTAAATATTGGCTATAACTAAAAAAATGATTGCTCAAATTTTTAATTTTGGCAAGGTGCCAAAACCTTTCTATTTTGCTTATAACTCACGAACGGCTCATTCTGTTGATATGCGGTTAAATGATTCTGGAGGATCAATTAACGCACCATAGATTTGTTTAACACATCAGTTTCGAACTAAATCTGACTTAGCACTTAGTTCATTTTTATCTCAATAAGCGGTCTATTATAACGATAATTATGCAACATTTTAAAACAATAATTCACACATAAATTATATATATATAGTATAAATTTTTTTAATCCTTAACACCTCTGAACTGAACACTGTTTACAAAAAAGCAAAAAAAAAAGCAAAAAAAAAGTTTAAAAAAAAGCAAAAAAAAAATAAACAAAAAAGATAAAAAAATTATAAAAAATACGAAAATAAAACCACTAAATCGCCAAATTTAAAATCGCCAAAACATCATTCACACCTTGCAGATTCGCCCTCAGATAGGGTCAAGGCCTGTTTGCTGACAACTGAGGGTAAATAAATTATTCATAATAAATCATTTTATTTTAAATTTTCAAGCTGCAACAATACCAAATCTAACTTCCTATTCTATTATAATGTAATTAATTAATTTTTTGGAAGCAATTTAATTTTTTTATAGCCGATCCCATTTACACCATGCAGATTCGCCCTCAGATAGGGTCAAGGCCTGTTTGCTGACAACTGAGGGTAAATAAATTATTCATAATAAATCATTTTATTTTAAATTTTCAAGCTGCAACAATACCAAATCTAACTTCCTATTCTATTATAATGTAATTAAATAATTTTTTGGAAGCAATTTAATTTTTTTATAGCCGATCTCTCATTTACACCTAGCACATTTGCCCTCATAACATATTAAATAATTGATAAAACAAAAAAGAAAAAAAATGATAAAAAAAAAACAAATGAAAAAAGAAAAAATGATAGAAATGAGAACCAAGTATTATATAGTTAAAATAATTTATAATCTTTATAGATAGCTTTCTAACGGATATTACACAATATCCGTTAATCGAATTGAATAACCAGGGATATTACACAATATCCGTACATCGAATTGAATAACTGAGAACCAAGTATTATATAGTTAAAATAATTTATAATCTTTATAGATAGCTTTCTAACGGATATTACACAATATCCGTTAATCGAATTGAATAACCAGGGATATTACACAATATCTGTACATCGAATTGAATAACTGAGAACCAAGTATTATATAGTTAAAATAATTTATAATCTTTATATATAGCTTTCTCAGGGATATTAGATAACGTTATGATCTTTTCCCTGATCTCGGGCCTTCCCGTACCTACAATAACAACCTGACGATTGGATGAAATCTCAATCAATTCCACATATCTCCTATGAAATATCCAAGGATACTCAAGCCGAAAAATTTAAACAACATTAATCTAAGAACACAACGCCCCCACGCTTATAATTAATATATATCGTGATTATAACAAATATATATTACTATTCGTACATAATATTATTCACCATTCCTTCACTATTATATTACATAAAAAATCTTCGACTTAGATTGACAAGTACAAAAGCCATAAAGGCCGATATACTTGGCTAAATTAAATAATACATAATTTTTCTAGATAGCTACTTGTAATTCAAGTTTACTTACATTCTTCTAATATTTTTTAAAATAGTTAAGATCTATCAATAAAATAGGAATATACTTTTATAAGAATAATATAATAGGCTTTAGAGCTTTATCATTGGCCTTTTAAACGATAAAATTTAATAGGACAGTGCATATATAATTTCAGTGGAATAAATTTGACCTTGAAACATTTAGTAAGCTCATAAAAAAATTTACAATGATTAAATAATGCCAAAATTAATAGAATGTCTGTCGCTGCACTAGATTTTGTTTTAGTGTACCGTAATTTGTTTTTATTAATTTTGTTATTAACTTTTACATTTTAATTTCGGCTATTAAACTTCTTGATATCAACGGAGAACTAAAAAATGAATATCCATAATTTGTCAGGTCGAAATTTGACCTTGTAAATATTTATTGTTGATAAACTCACTTTCCTTTAATTTTTTTGACATTCCGTTTGAAGAATACGGAGGATCAATTAAGGTACTAAATATTGGCTATAACTAAAAAAATGATTGCTCAAATTTTTAATTTTGGCAAGGTGCCAAAACCTTTCTATTTTGCTTATAACTCACGAACGGTTCATTCCGTTGATATGCGGTTTAAAGATTCTGGAGGATCAATTAACGCACCACACTTTGGCATATATTTTGGTAATTGATCCTCACTTTTTAAAAAAATTCTTACAACTTCACGCTATAAAAACAGGTCATAACTCAATTGCGGTTAGTGATATCGATATCCGGTTTGGATATTATTAACGCACAAATTAAAGCTTAAATAATTGCCAAGTTTCAGATCGTGATCTTTTATATTTTCGGTTTTGGCAAAGTGCCAACACTTTCTTATTTCGCTCATAACTCAGTAACGGTTCATTCTGCTGCTTTCCGGATAGAAGATCAATTAGGATCAATTAACGGACTATACAATGATATAAGTTTCGGTAATTGATCCTCAAATCATTCTTACAGCTGCAAATCTTCGCACTTTCATTATTTTGCTTATAACTCAAAAACCTTTAATTCTGCTGATGTCTGGTTTGAAGATAAATTAGGATCAATTAAGACTCTAAATAATGGCATAGGTTTTGTTAATTGATCCTTGCATCGTTCTTACAACTTCACGGACCTATATAACCAGCCTACGATTTTTCATCGAAATCGAAAGGGCTCGGCCGAAAAGTGATTGATTTGACATGGAATGACCCCATAATTGTATAATCCGCCCATAAGAATAAAAAACAAATTGTATGTCGGATGGTTTTTTTTTCTAAATATCGACTCTAACAATTTTTAACTGAAAGATAGATTGATGCTTATTTAGAATCACTAATATATGACCCTAACCCTTAAAAAATTATATATAAAGATGCCAAAAAGTTCTCAAACATCGTAAACGAACTGAATCTGATGAACAAGCTCAAAATAAAATTGTCGCAGCATCAGCACGAAATACAGAACGAAAAGGACAAGATAGGCCGAGAAATGAATGGTAAAATAAGTTATGATCAGATATATATATAAAATTTTAATTTTTTCTAGCATAAGAGAGGGTTATTGAATTTATTCTTTTAAAACGGTCCTTTAAAAGAGAGTTCACAATGAAGTTAAGTTTTTTTTTGATCGTATATCTCGTATAAATTTAAACACTGTTAGACATAGCGTTGTTAAACGGCTTGATTTGATAAGATTTTTATAAACGGATATCGTAATATTTTAGCCGGAAAAATATTGCCTGAGCCTCGAGATTTGGCTATTTAGATGTCCAGACCTTTGTGCCACCTATGAGTAAAATCTTCAGCGTTAGCCTATTTTAAAAATCGGGCTCAATTTAATAATAAACGTAGTAAATGATTTATTGTGGCACTAATTCTGTGTAGAATTTATTATATTTTTTATTTATTTGTTGTACTAGATCTGAAGAGAAAGTTAGAGATACAAGAGAGACAGCACAGAGAACTTTACAAAAGGTTCAAATGTTTTGATGAACTGATAGAACTAGATATAGCACCCTCCATACCTACGCCCCCTATACCCTCTAATATTTCGTCAAGCAACAAAAACTTGCATAACCTCGAATTAAATATAGCCAAACTAGAACCTCGAACTAGTAGTGTAAACGTGCAGAACAATTCGATATGCCCCGAAAGACAAGTTCCTCTCAATCATTCTCCCAGCACACCATCTAACGGCAGCAGCAATACCATGAGCAAGAGGTCCAGTTATAAGCTTAGGATCAAGCCCGTCTCACAGTTTGAGAGTCTGAACCAACGAAGTAACACGGATTTCGATTCGGAAAACGAAAATGCGGGAGAAGAAAATGAGGACGAAAAAAAGGGAGACAGGGAAAGGAACGAAGATGGCGCCTACGATTATGAAAGGGATGAGGAAGAAGAAGAAATTGTCAATGATATGGGAATACCTGAAAATGGTGGTGGGAAGGAGCTTCGCATTTTCGAAGATCACAAAGAGAACGATGCAAATAGCCAAAATATCGACGATGAACAACGATTGGAAGAAGATTCGGATAGGTTTCGCCGAAATAGGTCGAATTCTGACCACAATTTTGTTGAAGAACATCCGCCGATAAGTCGTTCTCCGACTTCCGATACTGACGCCAGACCCGATAACCAAAACACGCCTACAAATGAAAACCACGATATCAACGAAAATAATAGCAATGGCGGTGCATTTAGCCTTATAGAGCCTATAAATATTAAAGCCGAATTTGACGCCTTCATCAAAGAAATGTGATAATAAATTCAATACATCGTTGTAAATATAATGAATATACGTTTCAATAAGTCTCAACTTAAATATATTGACACATATGGTCATCATTGAAATTTAGAATTTTTTTCCCCCACGATAAAAATAGGAAAGAAATGAATCTTAATATTTTTTTATAAAATACATAATATTTATAGACTTTTTTGTTCAAACCTGAGTTAAAAACTTGGAAATATTGTATTTATAAATAATGCTCATCATCATATCCTATAATATTATGTCAATGAATATCCATAATTTTTACAACCTTATTGAAATTATTTTATAAACATATCACAATTTTTTTTATAGTCATTTTAAAAAAAAATTATTATGATATATTCAATATAATCGTTTGATGCTATATAGATAAGATATTGATTATAATAATTATTTGCCCAGCGAAAAGATATAATAACGTACATAATTATTAATCTTTAATAAAGACGTTTATCGTTTCAATGTCGAATCTTATAATATTAAATGGCTAGTAGTTAACTTCGATAATTATATTGTAGAGGCCTTGCATCGCACATATGCTTTTAGATCCATCCCAATCCGAGGAAAAAATTTGTCACATTAAACCTTATCTAACTTCTAAAAATGTCCGCGAAAGAGTTTTGAACCTTTTGATGGCATAGTAACTATTTAACTATAGAATTTATTCTTTCTACTTATAGATACAATTTTATGAGATAGAATCTTAAAAATATTTTGATTGTATAATATATACGCATCAATATAATTTTTTTAGGTAATAATAGTGATAAAAATTATTTACAAATTTGAGAGTTTTCTATAAAAATGCAAATCAGCTTGCTTATTAATTAACGTTTATAAATTGTTTTTCAATTTGCACGATACCATTTGAAATGCTTTGTGAAATCGCTCATAAGTCTGTACTACAAATCTAAATATCGATGAGAAAAGGCTCAGCTGTTATTCCAAATCTAAAAAAAAGCTCGGTAATGATTAATGAGTTTTTAGCAGAAAGCCATGATTTTACAGGAAATGGACAAAAATTTTACAATCAAAGGAAACACTCCTGAATCTTTCGGTATGAGTTCCATTAAAGCTAAGCCAACAACTCTCATAATTTCTATGGAGAGCCTTTGTGTGAGAAAAAAACCCTTTCTCAGGGTTCTTCGGTGACTTCACGGATTTGTGAAGCATTATAGGTCGCAAAAAATGGTAAGAGGTAGATAGATTGGTATGAAAATATGATCATCGGGAATTTTCTGAATATTTAACGATATTTTGTTGTTCTTCTTGATCCACTAGTAACGACTAACTAAATATTTTATGAGAAAAATTATTATGCAAGCCTTAAGATTTTGCTCAGAGGTGGCACAAATGTTAAACATCTGTTAACGAAATCTCGAGTAGGAAAGGGTCAAGCGATCAACATAAGAATAGTTCCATATAAGTTACTGGCCCTCCATTGTATTTGGGTATTTCCATCAGGTGATTAACCGTCTGATCTAAACCATGTGAGGTTCAGGTATTACAGCTGATTTCAAAGAGCGTTAAAGGTCTGATAAATCAACCATTGCATGATCGACAGTGTAGGCGATATCTTTCCTTTGCGTCTGCGAATGAGTTACAGTCCAAGAAAATAAGGAGATGGATGATGATGCAGTTAAATCGAATTCATATGGCATGGGTAGGTTAATCGCTAATGAGAAGGAATGACTTCGTGAAACTTATGCCACGTGCCATTGATCAAGGAAGTGAATAGTGTGGTCGGTAGATTGATGAAGAGATATAAAGCAGATTCGGCTGATATTTCATCATTTCTATAATATCTGCTTACTTATATTTAGTTGCATATAAACTCTGATGTTTCCTGGTGGATAACATTAAAAGAATTTTAAATAATTATGTCCCGCCATAAATGAAAACATTTTTTTAGGGCTAAAAATGATATTTATTATAAATATTAAATTAAGTAAACACAAATTTTTTTTATAACTTCAATTTTTTTCTAAGGGATAATAAAATAATTATTAAAATGTTGGTAAAACCTTTAAACCTTCCCAAATATTTAATTTATAACTAAAAATTATTATAAATGGTATTAGAATTTATTAATATAATAATTACTGGGTCCTAAAATAATATCTTTTAAAAAAAATCGATTTAAAAAAAAGTGAGTAAAATGCTTTAAAATATATCGTTTCTCATAATATTCCCCTGTTCCTCGTGTAATGGTTGTTTAGTTTCGGAATTGATTTTACCGAGCTTATAAACGATGTTTTGTAATTGCAATTCTAAATTTTCAACCATCTCCGATTCGTTGATTTTTTTGATCCTATTAATCTATATGTATATATATTATAAAATTGTATATAGTAATATATAGACAAAGAACATTTTTCGTATGATTCTTTAACTAATTTTTAAAGCTTAAAATTTTTTTATAATCTATTATCTATACATCGTTAATACAAAGTTTTTGGTAAAATTTAGTGTCCGGGGTAATTATTGTCTCCTGGGTATTTTTCCGGCATTCCTATTGGAACCTAATCGGTTTACAATTCATACATACTAACTTACAAATTGCAATTTTTATATCACATGCATTCTATAAAAAAACATAGAGAAATTGGTTGTGATTGGGTACTCTTCACCACAAATACAAATAAGCTAATCAATTTAGCATTCCCTTGGTTCAAAGAAAAAAAGCCTTAAAATTTCAGATAATTCTTTTAATAATGTATCTAGTTTTATCGATAAAAATAAAAACATTAACATTATTATTATTATTATTAGTCGATAACGGAGCAAACCTGCGATTTTATGTGGGGAACGATGCCGTACAACTTGTTAGAACATATGGGTAATAGGTTTGTCAAGGATTCAAGATATTTTTCGAGAAAATTATTTAGGCCGTAAAAACTAAGGTTGCCTTTGAGTGAATATTCATCGAACACTTTGATAATATCGTGATGGAGCTCGCACCAATCGTGAGTTTCCAGGATTTGGTTGAGATCAAAACTAATATTCAAATTAATTTATTTTTTTTAAAGTTCCGATTATCAATAGGGGGAAAAAAATATAGGGTTGAAATTAGCGAGGCTCGAAAGGCAACATGTTTTCCCGGCTGAATCACCCGCCAACTTTTAACCGGCCGTTGTAGGGGTGACGACCGGTCTGGACCGCTGTGACCTATAATGAGTCAAAATAATATTTTTTTCTTCCATACACCATTCAAACAAACCCATATTTTAAACGACCCCTATAATTTTTTCCCCATCTTTTATAATTTTTTATTAAAAAAAATTTATGTTGACGTTATCATTCACAGCTATGATTGAATTAGTTTGTTTTAATTGGAATTTTTAAAACAATTTTTAAAAAAATATATGCAATTAATTTTCTTATCATCCTTTAATGTTAAGATAAATTTTATCATCATCTCACTGTATTAGAATTTAAGAAGACGAATGTTTTGGGGGCTACGATAATATGCTGGGGTAATTAGGTATAGAATTTTCTTCCCGCAATTTTTTTAGTTGATTTTTTTTATTTAACAATTATATATTAAATAAGTTTATAAATCAAACCAAGGCCAAATCCTTAGCATTTTATATTAGATAGCAAAAATGGGTTATTTATCATGATCCAGTTATAAAATACAACACGAGTTTTTTTTTTAAAAAAAGTATCGAGATCAAAGGATCGACGATTCTGGATTCGATCATAATTTTGTCAATTTACCCCGATTTATTTATTTTGTTTTATATTTGATCCTTTTATAAATTTATTTATTTTTAATTCTAAGAAGTTCAAAACTTTCACAAATTTTAATGAAATAATATGTTAATTTTTTTTAAAAAATTTTTCTAGAATTTTCTAGAATTATGTATTTTAAAATAGCTAATTCATTTATTCACATTAAAGTTTCCAAAGTTTGCGAATTTAATTTTACGATTATTTTGGACACAGCTAAAAAGTTTTATAAAAAAAAAAAACTATCTCCATAGTGTTTAAGCACCCTGCCGACTAGTGTTGTTAAACGGCTAACTCAATATTTTAGCCAGACTGCCCAAGCCTAAAGATCTCGATGGTCTAGACATCTGTTCCTTTTATGAGCAAAATCTCCAGAGTTGGATAACATTTTTTCTGGATGTAGTATTGAGTTAGCCAGCTGTTTAACAACACTATTCCCGACATATTTCATATTTTTTTTGTCATAAATTTTATCATGACAAACATATGATTTGAATGTACAACTTACAAGTTTTTATTTACCGAATTAAAAATTTTTAAAAAATAAAATATTTTTAGGTTTTTTTTACTAAATGTCTATTACAGATGTTAGAAAATAATACACAGACAGGAATTTGAAGTGATAGATATAAAATGAGAACCTTCTGCCTTTTCCTCAGCTTGGTATAAATAATTTTAATAATGTATAGATTTCTTTCCATCTATGAGGATAGTAAGCATATTGGCAACAATAATTCACCCAAAAATTTTAAGCTTCCGTCGAAAAACTTGTTTAGTGAAAGCTAAACATGTTCTTAATGAAATTTTGTGGATCAAAAATTTTATTATATTAAAGGGTAATTGATAAAAAAAAATAATAAATTTATGATTATATTATTCTATTACAATAAATATACACTTAAGTTAATTTATTTTCGTATCAGTTCATTCTATATCTTGAGCATAAACTTTCCTCAGGAATTTATAAAAAATAAGAAAAGGATGAGTGATTTTTGTCGATGCTGAATTTAGAATCCATTTTCCTGAAACGTTCGTGATTTAGGAATTGAATCCTTTTAAAAAGATGGACCAACAAGTCTGCAATACACAATTACAGACATCAAACAGAATGAAACTTATAGAGGCATTTTTGTACAAAAGCCCTAATTGACCTTAAGGAAAAATAGATGATTAAATGACCAGAGATTTCGGTAAAATTTAACGGGCCAGTTGCAAATCTTACGTAAAATTTTTAACGGGCAATTAAAGACCCGGGTAAGATTTTAAAAAATTAATTATATTTGGGTGTGCTGAAAGGAGCAAAAAATTGAACTGGCTGCCACCAAGTTGTGAAAAAATTATTAAAAGGCTGACCCCCCCTCCCCCAGATTTATGAATAATTATATTTTGAGTAAAAAATCATTCTCAACGTCAATATCCTTTTATAACAAGTACGGAAGATTCTTAGGTAGCGTATTTTTTTTTTTTAAATAATCAATTACCTTTTATATATATCAGAATTTTGTCGGTATCGATCAGCTGAATCATCGGGATATAACCAAAAGTTCCTCTAAAAAAAAATGAAATAAGAAATGTTTTAAATCATAATACATCCTTTATGTAATTGTGTATGTTAAAAACTAGTGTTGTTAAACGGCTAACTCAATACTTGATCCAGAAAAATATTACCCAAGCCTGACGATTTTGCTCAAGAAGGAACAAAGGTCCAGATATCTATTGTCAAAATCTTTAGGCTTAGGTAATGTTTTTGTGGCTAAAATATTGAGTCAGCTGTTTATAAAAATCGTCTCAAAACGAGCCATTTGACAACACCGTTAAAAAAAACCTCGCTTTGGGGTGCATTCAGTAAAACGACGAAATCTATATTTTTAAGCCAAAAAATTATTTTTAAAAACTTTTTTTTGCCATTCTATATGCGAAATCTCGATGCTAAGGTAAAAATTATTTATTTTGGCGCTAAAATCATATTTTATACGTTTTTTTTAAAATAAAAATCGCCCTAAATAGAGGAATTCGGCAACTCCATTGGCAAATAGAGACACGCGTAGGAGCCGACGTAGTGGATGACGTGGGACTACCGCGGTATTGAAATACTTACATTCAAATTTTCTTTAACAAAAAAATTTAGATCACTCATAGAAATTCTTATGAGTAAGCGCCTCTGAAAGGTGCTCTCTATACTCTTCTAGAAAATTTCGGAAGAAAAATTTATTAACCTGTTCCACTATCAAATCGGAGACTAGAGTTAAGATTCTCATGACCAATTTAAGTCCGCGATCCAAGGAGTCGGTATTGAGTAAACTATCGTCCATTTTGTTGATATGGTTCGTTAATCCGCGTTCGACGAACTTTGTCAACAATGTAAAACCGTCTAGCGGTGGTTCCACGAAATATTTTTGAGCTACGGGTAGGCCCCGTAAAAGGGAGGATAGGGCGAATATGATGGATTTGTAATATCTATACTCCTTCTCCTCGTCGGAACGAGTAGCTCCCGCCGCTGACGTAGAAATACTGTATTCATTTAGGGCTTGAGTTAAGCGGGGCAGGAGGTTAGACTTATAAGCTTGAATCTGAACTTGGGGGTTACTATTCGAATAAACAAATAAAATATAATTTTTTTTTAAAAAAAAACGTTAATTTCGTTTTTTATATTTCTTTTACTTTCTTTCTCAACTTTATAAAAGTATTTAAATTAACAAACATTTTTAAATATAAATAAAATAAATAAAAATATAAAAAAAAATTAATATAATAAAACAAATCAATATATTTTCTCTTCTTTACGCTAATTTACGAATCTATGAAATTTACTTTTGCATAGCACTTCCGGTTAATTTATACACCGCCATAGAAAAGTCTGTGTCGTTGGCACATCTGATCAGGATATCGTTGATGATCACAAAACCACCCGCCTCGGCAAAATATATAGCGTTATCCCACTTGTTAAACGGAAAGCGTAAAAAAAAGAGATTTTAAATATACAAAAAATTACTAAGATAAAAAATGTGTCGGGTGGCAATCGAGTTGCAAATTTACCAATTAGATGTCAGTTTAAATGTTCGAAAAAGGGATTCGAAAGCCGTAATTAGGGGACACACGATTGTGAATTGCATTTATTATAAGTCACGTGTCGGATCGACTAAAAAAAAATGCTGGAATCGGCGCGTATCCTCCAATAAAGGCATTTAAAATTTATTTTGTTCGGGGAATGAAATCTATTTATGACACAAATTAGCCTACTTTATCGAGCAAAGGGTCGAGATCTCTAATCATTTCAATCGTATACTCTCTCGGGTTGGCGGCACCGGTATTCAATTGGCGGGAAACGTTGGCGTAATTTTTGAGTATCTCGGATATTTTATCCAGGTCCGTCGTCACGTGAAAATTCAATTTTTTAAACAAATCTTTCAACTCGGCCATACTTCTAAATTTGCGATCGGATATGGAGGAGTTTAGCTTAGCGCGTTTAAATTTAAATTTTGGGAAATATAAAAAATAAAATTAAATAATTTATACCCTTTAAAAATAATTTTGCGAATTCTTGATTCTACTTTAAAAAAAAGAAGGCTAAATCAATATTTCATCCAGAAAAATACTATGCAAGCCTAAAGATTTTGCTCATAAAAGGAACATAGATCTAGACATATATTAAGGATCGAGGTTTGGCCCATCTTTCTGGCTAAAATATTGAATTAGCCGCTTAAAAAAATCGGCTCAAAACGAGCCGTTTAACAACACTATCTCCAGTAATTTTGTTTCGGTATAATAACAAAATTGTCACTTCTTAATTGTTATATTGTTGTTGTTAAATAATATTTTATTTTAATATTTACCGTTTAAGGCGATATTTTTAGATTGTATTTTGTTCAGTTGTGACATGTAAATTGGACATTTGTTTATGTTAATTTATTTTGTAAAACTAAAAACATACATTTGAAAAAGAAAAAACTATTCGATTTTTATTGCAATTTTCCCACTTTGCAACATTAATCTTACCAATATAAATAATAATATGTCAGCATGTTAAGGTTGAATATAAAATTTTCGATAAATATTTTTTTTTCCATTTATTTTAATTTAAATTTTATTATTTTTTTTATTTAAATTTAACAATTTTTGATATCAAGACTTATATTATAATATTAAAAAATGGAATTAAAACCTAAAATTCATAGAATATATATGAAAATTTTTTATGTGCTAGTCAGGAACCATCTTGATGGAATAAAAATTTAAGATATAAAATGGAAGAAAAATAATACTGAATAACTTTTCTTTTCCTGTTATAAATGTAAAATCCCCTCCAGAAATATTTCACATGTTTTTTGATGATGGTATGTATTCAAGTCACTTATAATAAATCAAACCAAATTATAAGCTATTCAAAAATTAAATCATTACTTTGACATTTTAGATTTGGATATTTTTTATAGGATATAGTTGATATCATATTTTTCCTAATGGAAGAAAAGATTTAATGCATGATCTATGATTAGAAATGCAGCTAAAAAACAATTTAATCAAAACATTTGGATAATAAATAAGTATTAACAATAAATAAAATATTAAAACCAATCTTTGAGTATCTTTAGCACTATCATCATCAATTTGTGTTATATTTATGGGTAAATTATCTTCAGTATCAGTACCAATAACATCATCCTTTTTAAAATTTCCATTATTTATGTCTAAATATTTTTCATCAAGAGTTTGCAACATTGTGTCTTTGTTAACTCCATCTTTAGATAATAATTTGGCCATCTTAAACAAAATGTAATTGTATAATTTTATAAGTGATTATTATTTAAAGAAATTTTTGTAGAGCAAAAAAAAAGTTTTTAATTTAATATATTGAATAAAAATGTCTATAGTAATTTTTTTATAAATATATAAAGCATCATAACTCTGCACATATAATTTTATACTTTAGTATGATTCTGAAAATCAATTTTCACATGAAGACCAGGAGGGATAGGCATGCCTTCTGGAATTACTTTCCATTCATCAGTTGCTACAAAAATGTCTTCTTTATCAGGAGTAGTTTTACTCATATAAACCTAATATTAAAAGTTATTTATAAAAAAATGTAGGATGTAGGATGTACCATGATGTAAAATGCAGAAAATATAAGCAAATTATAGCTAAAGTATAAAAATTTTGTTTTCATAGTCATGAAAAGGATAATGGCATATTATTGAATTTCATTATATCGAAATTATAAATATTATTTTGGCAAACCTAACCTGGCTAAAATAGAAAATCTCAAAAGATCAGGGGCCCCTACAACGGGGGAGGGGGGTCCGAAGCAACTGCTTCAGTAAATTTGAGTGGGGGTACTTTTTTTTTACATCCATCATGATCATGTGATTTCTGGTTTATAAATGTAACAATAATACCCCCCCCCTCCACTTAATATTTAATTTAATATATTGACGGAAATTTTGGTCGATGTTTAGTAAATTTGTTATCCGAAAATTCTTGTCATAAATTATTTTTCCAATTTTAAAATATGCCTAAAAATATTAACCAATATTGACAATAGCAAAATTCCTAGAAATTGGATTACTTATAGTATTAAAATGTATAAAGTTTTTTGCTTAACATGTCTCTTATTTGGTGGTCCACACGCAAATTCAAAATGGACATGTGAAGGTCTAGATAAATGGCAAAATTTTAATCGTGATATTATTCTGCATGAATCTTCACAGGCACATATGATAGCCGATTATGGAAGGCTTTCTCATAATAAAAATTCGATATTAAAATTTATAACACCTCAGAAAGAATGTGTAGATAATAACCGTTCTATTATAAGAATTATAATAAGATGTTTAGATTATTTAATATCTCGTAACCAAGCCTTCTGGGAGAACAGGCAACAAGAAGGCAATATGATGGCCCTTATTAAGCTTATTGCAGATTCTGAACCTATACTAAAAATGTATATACAGCAAAATGAAGAAAGAAAAAAGGATAAAAAAAATAAGGAATTAAAAACGAAATTATATTCAAACCTATTATCATATAATAACATAAACATTCTCATTGAAACCCTGAAAAATATGGTTATAAAAAAAATTCAAAATGAGATTACATTTAACAGGTGCTTTTCAATCATAGTTGATGGCACATACGATGTTTCGAAATCAGAAGCAATAGCTTTGATAGTAAGATATGATGAAAATAGTGAGACGTCGAAGCCTGTTGAAAGACTGATTGACATATATTGTACGGGAAATACCACAGGTCTCTATATAAAGCATAATATAATATCTAAACTTGGCTCGATGAATTTACTCCTTGAATATCTAGTTGGGCAAAGTTATGATGGCGTCTCAAACATGAGTGGAAGAATCAATGGTGTGCAAGTTGATTAGAGCAGAGGCGCCAAAGGCAGCTTTTATTTGGTGTTATTGTCATCGATTAAATTTAATCGTTGTTCAATTATGCCAATCAATTAAAGAACTTCGAATTGTTCTAGGAATACTAGATGAGATTTATGTCTATTTTAATGGTGTAAAAATATATGAGGTACTCAAAAAATTTCAGTGTAATGATCTGAAAAAATCGCAACGATTTCTACGCGTCAAGAATACCACTCGGTAATAGTTCCTTATTTATTTAAATTTTAAATGTTTTTTTTATTTAGAAGCTGGCTATCGTCATATAAAGCTATTGTAAATTTTTTTCAACTTTATGATGCCTTGAGGGCAGCTTTAACAAATTTAAAGGATTCTGAAGATCCTGCCACTTCCACTATGGCTAGTGCTATAGTCTTTAGAATAGAAAAATTTGATTTAATCTTATCACTTTGTGTTTTGGATAAAATATTGTTGATAACAAGTTTGGCTTGTACAAAATTGCAAACTATTTCGAAGGATATAGGGTATGCAATAAATCAAATTTAACTGACAAAAGATTGCTTGATTAATTTAGGAAGTATAGTATAAATTATTGTCTTAATTATTTTTAATCTAATAGATAATAACACTGAATTTTTGGATGTTTTTTCAAAGGCGCAAGATTTTATGAGGAGAGTAATCTACATTTTGCTTTTTTGAAAGTTCTAGACTTCAAACATTACAATCCAAAAGGAAGAGGTATATATATACTTTCATCAAGAAATTTATTTAGCTTTAAAATAGGTGTGTTTTATGCTGCACTCGATTTAATTATTATACAGTTTAACGAAAGATTTAATGATGATTCCATGAAATTTTTACATCAAACATCATTTTTTACGCCAAAGGGAATGGCAGAAAAATCAATTATTAAAGAAGATATCGAGGATATCTGTGAATTTTACAATTTAAATTCAAGTCAAATTTTCGAAAAAATGTTGAAGTTTAGAAATATTTATAAGATGGCCAAAATGGGGAATGTAATTATTACTCATGACCTAGAGGTTCAAGAATTTAAAGATTTGTCAGATTCTGAGAATTGTAAATTTATTTAATTAAAATATTTTTACCAATACATTATTTAGCTACTTCTGATGATGATGATAATTCAGGGACTTACGATTCAGATTGGAAAAACTATTCATTTATTTTACCTTATCGTTTACTTTTAAATTTTTTTGCTTTCCCTAATTTAAGAATTTTATATAAATATTTGTTAACCATTCCCACAACCTCATGTACTGCCGAAAGAGTCATGAGTAAAATTAAATTAATTAAAACAAGACTGCGCAGTACCATTTAAGATTCTTTTCTCAATAATTTAACCATATTATCAATGGAAAAAATTTTATTTAAACAATCAAATACTGATGAAATTATAAATTCTTTCGCTTTCTCTTCCCCTAATTTATCTAAATTATTAATTTAAAAATAATATTTATAAAGTTATATTTTTTGCATTTTATTTATATTATATATTAAAAATTGATGCAATAAAAATTATTTTTGAAATTTAGGGGTGTCATAATTATCATTTTTTCGAAGGGGGGGGGGGTACTTTTCATGGGGGTATTCTGCTTCATTCTCTCAAAAAGTGTAGGGGCCACTGCAAAAGATTGTTTTAGTCGAGCATCTCTATTCATAAAATAAATTAATTCTTCTTTCAGCTTGGAACTATTTATCGACTGGCTGTATGGTAATTTCTTTCTCTTAGTTATGTATTTCATTAAATTAAAATATCTAAACCTCGTTATAACGATTTAAAATCGTTTCTCTACCATTTTCTTATTGTTATTTTGAACTTTTACTTAATCTTTCTTTTATCTATAAGTGTTTTACTATTGTTTATTTGATCTCAAATATTATTAATAATCTAAAATTATAATCGTATCGTATAAGTTAGTGCCCCTTCTTTTTTTATGAGAGCTGCCGTTCATCTTTCCTAGGAATTTGGGTAATTAATATCCTAGAATTTTATTAAATATTTTTAAAGTCATATCTTATACCTGACCCAAATTTTAATTATATATCCACTCATATAAGATCATTGAGGCTGTTTTTTCCCTCGTAGCCAAATTCAAACGTAAACCATTAAGTAGAATAGTCATCTGTCTTGTAAATTTACTACTCTGGCCATATCCTGAACTTCCTATTATATTAATATTCCTACTATACAGCTTATAGCTATATGCCCATCCAAACCACATTTCACACAGCAGTAAAATATGATTTGGTTGGCTATAACTATGACTATCTGTTTGTAAAACATGCTTTATTATGCTTCGTAATAATCTTATTCCGTAGCGACATTAGGCAAAAAATAGTTTTAATTTTTATATTTAAATAAATAAAACAAATTATATAAATGGAGGGTGGGGGTGTAGGAAGGGAACAGGTGCCTGACCCACTTCAAAATTTCAAATTTTTTTATAACAAATGTAGAGGTAATTTTGAAAATAATCGAAAAATAATTTTTAGAGCCCCCAGAGATTGTGAGACTAGTGATGCCCTTGATCTTATTTTCAAAATAGTCTAACAATGGTTTTCTTTTTCCAATTTTTCAATATTTCATAACTCTTGTACCCTTTTTGTCACCATCATATGTTTCAACCTCAAGTATCAAAACTGTCGAAATATCTTCTTGCTCAAATTGTTATATGTGTCTTATCTACTCTATCTTCTCGAGTTGTCCCTTATTTAATTCTGTTTAAAATACAAATAAATCATTAATTTATTAATTAACTTTGGGAAAAAAACTCTGAAAAATATAAGATATTAATAATTCAGCGTATTTCACTTTAAAATGGATGCCAACTTGATTTACTTTTTAAGGCCATTTTTTTAGGGATAATTAACTTCAGTTTTAGATTTCTTTAATTTAAATTTTTTTAATATCAATGACAATAATAATACATAGACTGACGATGAATTCATTAGAAGCAGTGGCGTATCCACAATTTTCTTGTAGGGGGAGGGGGTATTACCTGGCCTTCGGCCAGCATTTCTCCGGCCTTCAGCCGGGTTTTATGTTTTAGCTATTCTATTTAATTATTCATAATTAATAATATTTTTATTTTTAACTATTATTTACAAATTCGTGCTTATGGATATTACAAGCCTATTTTTTATTATTTAAAGTTAAGTACATTATATTTAATAAAGTTTTTTTTAAATGTAAAGTTTAAATAAAGTTTAATGTCATTTTTTGGTTACTCACTGAATCACGGGGAAATTTTAATTATTATTATTTTTTTATATAAAATAATAAATAAATGATCATCTGCATTTTGGTGGAAATTTTTATCATAATTCATTAATTTTACAATAAAACGGAGTATATTTAAATATTTAAAAAACTTGTGAAAATTTTCATAATTCTTTAATTTCACAAAAAAAACAAGACGTGTTATATGAAGCTATTAAGTTATGACTATTAAATCAAATACTAAAATTTTAATCAATTTTTAGAATAAATTTTTTTTTGTGAAAAAGGTTGATATTTCAGAGAAGAAATAGTTATTTTTAGATTTATAAATTAAAAGTAAGTACTTGTTTAATTTGGGGCATTGTTGGGTTTGAAATCTTTGAAATTGAATGACCCATAAAATTAAATAAAATTTAATTGATACTCATATATATATATCATATTGTTTTCAGTTATTGTAATTTT